TCCCAGGAGGGGGCAGTCAGGGAACGAAGGGAGTGGGGGGGGGTTGGGGGTTCGTGAGGGGGGCGAGGTCAGGGGGTGGGGAAGTGGGAGGGAGTGGATGGGGGCAGGGCAGGGGCGGGGCTAGAGCGGAGCTCCTCCCCCCATGTCCTCTTTTTTGCTTGTGGAAATGTGGTAACCCTATCCCTGCCCCTTCTCCGACCCCCTGTCCCCCTTGTTGTTGGCCTTCACCTAATGTCTCTGTGAGCGTGCTCAGGAATGGCCTGAGCCGTTCGTCCCAGCACGCTGGGCAGCAATGGAGGAGGAGCCGGGGAGGAGCTCCAGACTGCGGGAGGCAATTTGCGAATGCAGGGAGGGAGGGAGTGATCTCTGCTGCAGGGGAAGCGGAGGAGGGGCTCTCTCTGGCTGTCGGAGCCCCATGTAAGTGGCACCATCCGGCCGGCTGCCCTGTTAGCCGCGCACACTCTGCATGGGGGGGGGAGTCCGGACATTTACAAATTCCCCCGGACGCTATTTTTAGCTCAAAAAGCCGGACATGTCCGGGGGAATCGGGACGAATGGTAACCCTAAATTAAGTTGTATTGCATATTTGCATTTTCCTCACCCCTTTTACAATATACACTACACATGTTCTTTTTCTTGACATTCCTTTCATACATGTTGGGTTGTTAAATTCCAATAGACACCCCATATGTTTTCTCTAATCCAACTAAAATGTTCATAGCCAAATGATTTTAATTAAATAGTCTCTTTGCCTGGATTTATTTACAGACATTTCTTTGGAAAAGGGCCCATTTTTCCTTCAGAATGGCTGCAAAGAAACCAAGAATTCTTTTTCTTTAACACTGTTACAACGTTCAGCTGATAATTCCCTCCAGCAACTACAGAGTTAACTTCTCACTCTCTTTCCTTAAATCACTTGCTTATTGTCCCAAAACGACACCCCAATCAACTCAGATTTTACCATTCAAATTATTGTTCCAGGGGTTTAAATTCCCCATGCCTATATTTACTGCTTTCCCTTAGTCCTGCCACCATGCCTTCAAGGTTTCCAACCCATTTCCCATTTTTTTTTCTTTCTGCTCTCTGCCTGCTTGTCTGGGCCCGATCCTTTTTCCCTTGCTGCATCATTCTTTTCCATGGGCACAGGCTTTGTTTCACTACCAATTCAGCAAGGAGGGTGGGCTTCTCAACTAACCCTCACCCCTCTTGGTCCTGTTCTTAAACATTATCACTCACAAGGCTACCTGAGTCCTCCCCCGTGAGGCTTACCACCTGGACAGAACGCACAGCCAATTGGTGTTTTAACTGTTCAATTTTCTCTCTAGCTGTCAGGTACACATCTCTTCCCTTTTCCCCAACTCCTTTTATTGCCTGGTCCTGCAACGATCGAGGGTAGACCCACCGTGAACCTTCTTCTTTCATACTCACAAACACAGCGCCCGGTCTGGCCAGGCCCGGGGGTAGGAGAGACAGAGAGAGAGAGAGAGGTAGATGGGAGATTACCCTGTGCACAGGTTGTCCAGAGGTACGCTGCAAAAAATCTCCAACTTGCTTCCACTCTTGGGTTTTTTTCCACCCTGGGGTCTCTTGGAGCGTCCCTTTCAGAGACCTTTGCTCAGTATTCCAGTCCAGACTGGCTGCCTGTGGCTTCTTCAGCATCCCCAAACCACACCGACTCCAGGGTCGCAAAGGCAGACTGTTGGGTCTCACTGGGCGGCCAACATTTGCAAATGTAATCTCAGTCCTGTAACTTGTGTTGCCTTTGTTTGCCTCTGTCTTTATTTTTCACAGCCAGCTGGGTTTTTTGGTGCTTGGCATGCAGATCAAGGCAGACTGTGTTGATTCTTGACGTTGAACGCAGAGCAGCTTTCTCTTTATCTCTAGACCAAGCTAAATTTTCAAATTAACCCATTCCTTTTTCCTCCTCCTCCCTTTCGGCCTTAACTAACTGGGGATATAAAGGAGCCAAGGGGGTTGATGAAGTGGTTTGGGTAGGGGAGGCATCCGGATGCTTTATATTTCATTATCAAATCCTGTACTTGGGTTTTTAATTTTTCCTGGGAGTCCTTCAAACTCCACACTCAAGACTCATGGAGTCTCGTTGTAGCTTCCTCCCACCAATAGAAAAATTGCTCCCACTGTGTATCAGAGGCTTTTGATGATGTAAGGGTTCCTCTGAGGTATATGATTTTATCTAGATCGAAGCTACCTTCTAGTGGGAATTGTTTGGATGGATCATGCGTGTAAAAATTCCAATTTTCTAAATACCTCCAGGTCCTTGGGCCACAGTGCACATACATGTAATATGCAGGGGTGCCCTTTGGTGGTGAGGGGGAATTCTTAAACTGTCCCCCACCCATTTTCCAATCACACAGGGCGTCCTGTCCGCTAGCGGCTCATAAGCTAAAGAAAGGTCTCACACTCTCTGGGGATGACACCCTGTCCGCTAAGTCAGCGGTTCATAAGCTAGAAAGGATTTCCCACACACTCCTGTCTGCTCAGCAGCTCATGAACTAAAGAAAATTCTCACTCTCTCACCTCCCTGGGAAAAGGTCCACTGGGGTCAGTGGCTCATAAGTAAGGTGCAAATTCCTATCCGCTGGGTCAAAAGGTTTGGCTGACCGCCCTTGCTTTCAGAACTCCCACATCGGGTAGGCCTGGGGTGGCTGGAGTCAGCTTAGTTTTAGACCTAGTCAGTAGCTCATACCCCCCATTTTTCATTCATTCACACACACACATTCATTCCCCATATCTCAATGCATCTCATTTAACAATAATCTTAATTCATTATGTCCGGACTCAATACAACATTTCCCTTATTTCTGAGGTGGTAAAAACCTCTCAGCACCGGAGTATTAACCTTAACCTTATTGGGGGTGGCAAACTAAGTCCCCAGCACCACATCAAACTAACCTACTTGAGGGCGGCAAAAAAACTATTCCTCAGAACCGCAATGACTAACCTTACTTGAGGGCCGCAACAAATTCCTCAGAACCGCTCTGCATCTGGTCTTGTTGCAAAACAATAAGTTCAGATGGCGTGAGCCCCAAAGGGACAGATGGCTCCACGGGCAGTCCTCCTGCAACACCCCAATAGAGATTTCAAAAGGTCTCTTACCTCTATTATGGCACCATGGGGTTCACAGGGGAACAGTCTGCAGTAGTTGTCGCTGTCTCAAAGGGCGTTGCCATCTGAGTCATGGCACCAAATTGTGGAGGAATAACACAGTCTTCGCTCTTAGGTTGGTTGCAACATGTCAGAGGCAGTTTATTTTCATTAACACTTGCAAAGGGAGAGTACTCACTGGTAGGGGTTCCCCTCCCGAGGCAGGTCTCTGTTAGATAAATAATTAGGGCAAGCATTTATACCCTTTGTTACATACAGTAATGATCAACGACTGCATTTTGTTTATACATATCCTGATATCTTACTTTTCTTAGCAATTTTCTGCTACAGTCTGCGTTCCATTCTTATCTAACACAAGGTCAAAATAACCTCTCACAGTTTTTCCCACTTGCCCAGACCCTGCATGAAATCTCACGTTATTAGAGCTAGTGTTAGCCTGACTCTTGCTCTTCCTGGAAGGCTAAGATGTCCGCGTTTTTCCCAACTTCCACGGTATTCTCAATTGTGACCCACGAACGTATGGTGACACAGGGTTTCCTGCATGAACTAACAACCCAAATCCTCAAAGGGAATCAGTGGAAGTTAGGTACCTAATACCTTTGAGAATCCTGCTCTAAAGTCACTGGGGCATATCCCTTCATATTCAAGCATATCCCTTCTACAGGTAACAAGTTCCACCTCCTGGAGAAATACCAGAGACTGGTTTGATCTTTTTCAACAAAGCTAAGAACACAAAGGATTTGAGACTGCATAACGTAACCATCTTGTATAAGGACACTCACACTCAGTACCTGATGAGACTATGACCAAGCGGAACAGGCCCTGCACAAATGGCCTGACGTACTTTAGTTCTTTCAGGGTCTCCACATGGAGGATGGGTGGCTGCCTGGTAAAATAAACCTGCCTAGAAGCTGTTTATTGTTTTATGGATGTAATTAGGGTGACCAGACAGCAAGTGATCCTAGAATCACTCTGATGTTCTTATGAGGAGAAATATTAATTTAGGGTAGATTAGACAACATGATTTGAGATTTTGGACTAAAACAAAATATAGGTGTCATTCACTTTTGGAAAACTCTTTACCTTCATGGCCTACGAACTTCACATTTGTTTCATTCAAGAGCCTTTTATGAGATCTGTTGCACAGGATTATTTTTGAGGAGTCAGGATGCTGACTTTTGGCATTAATTTCCTTAGCCATTGGAATGGATGCAAGCTTCATCACCTGCTAGCAAGCTTTAAGGCCTTCACAAGAACATCTGGCAGAATTTAGGAAATTCATTAAAGGGATCCAGGTGCAAAGGCTAGGCTTTACAATGGTCTCTCATTCCTGTCAGAGTGCAGGGAAACTTCCATGGTCTATTGATTTGCCCAGCCCAGCTTCTGAGTTACGAGCAATCTTTCCTCCCCCTACCTTTTTTAGTGCACTTCTAAATGGCACTGGAATCATTTCACTGGAGAGAGTAGGCAAGCTAAACAGGCCTTGAAAAATTCTCCCTACAGGTAGTTCACATGAGTCAATACATCCTAGAATCATGCCTTGGCACAGGTTACAAGGTTTCTTAGATTTGTAGCCCCAGATTTGGGGTGTGGCTGGTGCAGAGTGCAGGTCCTGGGGTTGGTGGCACTCTTCTAACTCTGCTACAGCATCTGTGCTGGCCACTCTTTCCTCGGTTCTTATGTGCCCACCCCCACTCAGTAATATCCAAGCAGCAATGCAACCCTTAGGTTGCTCCAGCTTGCAGCAACGGTAAACAGTTTCAAGGGGCTAAAAACACAGCTGAGGACTGATGTGGAATACGTGGATCCTGGCTCTGCCACCTTACCTTTAGCCACTCTCCCTTTTCCCTGCCACACTGGCATCTGGGGTAGGAAAAAGTAGCTGGAGCCCCCACTGTTGGCTGTACACTATAGGGGATCATCCCATATGGGTGATCCTCCTCGGGCCAGTCAATTCTAGGGCCAAAGCAGGCCACCTGCCTAGCACAAATCAGCCATACAATGGGGAACTTGGCTTATTAAATCCTCCAGCAGATCTGATACCCCTTTGAGCTCTGCTAGATCCACAACTCCAACTGGGAACATTCAAAGATATTAGATAGAATCTTACAGAGTGTTGTATATATGAATTAGAAACCATTTTGTTCACCTGGTGCTAAGGGCTAAGATTGTAAGTAACTTGAAGGGAAAATAAAATGTTCTCAATATAGCTGTTGTTGTGAAGAGCCAGTTTCACTATTTTACAGTTTCTAGAACTTATTTCCCACTTGTCCCTCCCCCATACTGCCAGGCCTTGTGCAGAGAGGGATTCAGGTGGTGGGCTCCTCCGTGCAGCAGAGTGCTGCAGTAAAAAGTTTTCATGGAAAGTGTCAGCACCTATATTAAGACAGCTTCTCCCTTAGTCTTTGTTTGGCAACTTCAGCTTTAAAGAGCAGAGCTTTGCAATTCATACCAGATTACATGCCACTTCCTTAGTCCTAGTGAAATGCAGTTCCATTAAGCAAGATGTATGCTAATACTGTCCCAGTTAACATCTATTACTATACTACTCAGTCAGACTAATTCAATGAATGATCTGGAGTCATCCCAATAAAGCTTATGCTCTAATAAATTTGTTAGTCTCTAAGGTGCCACAAGTACTCCTGTTCTTTTTGAGGATACAGACTAACACGGCTGCTACCCTGAAACCCAATAAAGCAGCCATTCCAATTCACTGCATCCCAGTAAAACAAAGTACATTGGGATAGTTTTCATTAATTAGCACCTTTTATCCCACAGCATTTTACATCTTCTGTAAGTAAGTGTCAATACTGAGGGGAAAACAACTGCATTTTATTTATTTTTTTAAAACATTAGAAAGACAGGTAAACAGGAAGCAGTAAGTGGAGAGATGATTTTACCTTGGTGAGACCACTACTAGAATACTGCGTACAGTTTTGGTGTCCACATTTTAAGGAGTATGTTGAAAAATCAGGGAGGATGCAAAAAAGAACCACAAAATTTAATTGAGGGCTGAAAAAAATGCCTTACAGTGAGACACGGAGGAACAAAATCTGTTAAGCTTATCAAACAGATCAAGAGGTGACCTGATTACAGTGTCTAAGTACCTTCATAGGGAGAAAATACACAGTATTAAAGGGCTCATTAATCTAGCTGAGAAAGGCATAACAAGAACCAATAGCTGGAAACTGAAGCCAGACAAATTCAAGTTAGAAATAAAGGCACACATTAATGATGAAGGTTAATTGGCACCAACTACAAAGGGAGGTGATGGATTCTTCATTTTGGCTGGAGACTTTGAATGAAGACTGGGGCCCAAATCCTCAAAGATGTTGATATTCCTGACTTCCATTGACTTCAATGGAACCCTCCCTCACCTCTCTACAGCACCAAGTCCTTTTCTAAGCATTGATTTCAATGGAAGTTAGGGGCCTAAACACCTTTGAAAAGCTGGGCTTGGGTGCCTGTCTGGAAGATGATTTAGCCAAACAAGTTATTGGGCTCCATACAGAGGTAACTAGGTGAAATGTAACTGCTTGATATACCAGAGGTCAGACTAGATAATCAAATGGTCCCTTCCAGCTTTAAACTCTATGCATCTATAAATATAGAGTGTGGGTTAAGTGATAAAGCGGCAACTGTGGAAAGTGCATGTGATGTTTCACTCCATATTCTTTATGAAAATATGCTTATGATATGAATATGACATAACTGAGATATACTTTATGCAAGATGGGTCTTGTAAGGTATCATTGGGCAGGTTACAATTTACTGAATGTGTTTATCCAATTTGTATGCATGTATCATTTCTCTATCTAAAGTTAGAAATATGGACTATGTAACAATTACAACTGGGTGTGTACTGGGAAGACACCCACCAGATAACAGGCCATCAAATTCAATGAGCCATCAGGAAAGAACAACAAAACCATGAAGATACTAATCCTAGGAGGCATTTGGGGACGTAACTGTGACACTACTAGATCAGGTGGTCTTGTCACCTGATACTAAACATAGAATCATAGAATCATAGAATATCAGGATTGGAAGGGACCTCAGGAGGTCATCTAGTCCAACCCCCTCCTAAAAGCAGAACCAATCCCCAACTAAATCATCTCAGCCAGGGCTTTGTCAAGCCTGACCTTACAAACCTCTAAGGAAGGAGATTCCACCACCTCCATTCCAGTAACCCATTCCAGTGCTTCACCACCCTCCTAGTGAAAAAGTTTTTTCTAATATCCAACCTAAACCTCCCCCACTGCAACTTGAGACCATTACTCCTTATTCTGAAATCGGTACCACTGAGAACAGTCTAGATCCATCCTTTTTGGAACCCCCTTTCAGTGATAAAGTTTGCGGATGATACGAAGGTGGGAGGCGTTGCCAATTCAGAGGAGGATAGGGATATTCTGCAGGGAGACTTGAATGAGCTTGTGAATTGGAGTATCAGAAATAGGATGAAATTTAATAGTGAAAAGTGTAAGGTGATGCATTTAGGGATGACTAACAACAATTTTAGCTACAAGCTGGGGACGCATTGGTTAGAAGTAACGGAAGAGGAGAAGGACCTAGGGGTTTTTTTAGACCGCAGGATGACTATGAGTCGACAATGTGACGTGGCGGTGAAAAAAGCCAATGCGGTCTTGGGATGCATTAGGCGAGGTATATCTAGTAGGGATAAGGAGGTGCTGCTTCCATTGTATAAGGCGCTGCTTCCATTGTATAAGGCG